GATGACATTTATTTTTTTCTAGAATTTTGTTATTAGTACTTATTTTAGGGCCAAATATAATATAACATGATTTACTTAAGTTCAATGCCAATTTATTTTTCAAAAACCAATCACAGAATTTTTGGAGCTGACGATTCATTTCTAGGAACAATTCATTTTGGTCTTTTCCCGACAAAAAAATATTGGTGTCGTCGGCGAACAGGATTGTAGTACATTTATCTGATATTGAAAAAATATCATTTACAAAAATTATAAATAATAGGGGGCCGAGTATCGAACCTTGGGGCACCCCTGTTTGAATCTTAAACGGAGGAGACACTACATTATCAACTGAAACAAACTGACTCCGATCAGATAAATACGACCTGAACCAGTCAAACACAACTCCACAAAAACCGTACCTCGACAACTTTTGTAGCAAAATTTCGTGATCAATTACATCAAAAGCCTTTTTTAGGTCAATGAAAACACCCAGGCTAAATTTTTTCTTATCGAAACCCTCCAAGAGAGACAAATGCAGCTCGGCAATGGCCTTCTCAGTTGATACATACATTGATATCGGACGCATTTAGATTACTCGTCGTATTTCTTAATTTTCAGCGTTTTTTTTCAAAGTTAAATTGCTAAATTTGTGTTCATTTTATAGACAAAGTTGGGGGGATTATGAATATATAATTTATTTTTCGAATAATATAAAATTTAGTTTTAAATTTAATCTTTAATAGTTTGAATTGAAAGGCAAATAATTTAGGCTGGTTATTTACTGTAGCTGTTTATAGTTCTGTACATACACTCCTAAGAGTTGTGAAATTTGTTCTGATTGTAGACTGATACTAACGTTAAAGTCGAACATAAGTGCAGTTTAAATTTGCATGTCCAGTGTTTACGTTTTGAGTTGTTTTAATTGATGGCAGGCAGAAATAGATGTCAGAGTTGCAATGGAAATGCGACTTTAAAGGATTCGTTACAATGTAAATTGATATATGGTAAAGAATAGGGGGTCAGGTTTCAATTAATTAAAAAAAATTTTTACAAATTGAAAATATATAAAATAAAAAGGTAATATATTTAATTTTTAGTTTTATTTGTTTTTTATTTATATAATTCACACAAATATATATGATATAATATATATGATATATAACAGCTAGCATCTTCTTCTTTCTCGTGCCTTATCCTTACAAAACCCGATCTTTAACACTTTGTAGTAGTTGAAATGTGGTGATATTCAACAAGTGACACAAGGACTTTTGACGAATGTCATTCGTCGTTGACCGCGATCTCTTTTCCCTGCAATCTTTCCAGTAGTTGTTTCACATAAATGTCAAAACAAAAAGTGGGCGGAGTTACGGCGTATTGTTCACGATTACTATTACTTCCATAAAAACCATTATTTCTTTAGCTTCACTGATACATTATTATTGTACAAGCAATATCGCTCTCTCCATCTCTCTCTCTTTTCCTCTCATTTCTATTTTTCTCTCTGCTATCTTTTTCACTTATTTATGCATAATAATTATACTTTTCTCCTCACTAGCTAATTATTTATTCGGCTGGGAATAAATTTTGTCTCAACATAATTATTACCATCAGATATCTCTTTTTTCTCTTCATATCTTTCTCTCTTTGCCACTGTTTTCTCTCAGTTTTCTCTGATGTATTACCATCAGATATCTCTTTTTCCTCTTCATATCTTTCTCTCTTTGCCACTGTTTTCTCTCTCTCGCTCTCTCTCTCTCTATCTCTCTCCCTTTCTCTCTATTTTTCTTCCACTCATTCTTTTCTATTTATCGTTTTTCCTCTTTTCTCTGTCTTTTTCTTTCTCCTCTATCTCTCTCTTTCTGCTTTACGCTTGTATTTCTTTCTCTTCTTTTCATGATCCAATTATAATCCTCTAGCAACTATATTGATCGCTGGCTATAACTAATTGCCATAACTACTGACGTCGTTTCTGATGATGATGACGACGACGATGATGATTAGGAAGATGATGAAAATGATGATGAAAATGATAAGAACGATGATGACGACGATGACAGTGATGATGAGAACGATGATGATGATAGACGATGGTTATGACAATGACAATGGTGATAGGTTTATCACTAGATAACAATGTCAATAGTGAGTGATGATGACGCCGACAAAAATTGATGATGACGATGATAAACATAATGACTACCAGAAAAGCGATGATGATGATAATGATGGTGGTGGTGGTGAAGATGATGATGATCATGGTGATGATGATGACGATTAGATAATATCGATAATGTGACGATGACAAAGATGGCAGTAATGACAACGGAAATTATGAATACAAAGATAATGATGATGGTGATGATGAGAAGGATGATGATGAATACAGTGATGATGAATACTATGACGATGACTAGGAAAATTATACTGCTAAGTGCTAATTATTTAAAATGATGATTGCAAAATAACTGCAGTCAATCATTCATGGATCTGATGAGAAGACTAATTAAATTAATTACTTATTATTAAAAGTATAATATTTTGTTTTTATTTATATTTTTGATAAATTTTTTTTTCTTAACTGTAGATCATTATTATTAACTTGGCTCAAGCTTACGATATTTTTGATATATTGAAATAAAATTTAATTTTTACATTGTCAAAAAAGCGACACCAGACCTGGAAACATCAACTGCTGCAGCACCAGTATGAACGTCAGAAAATTTTTAACCTTAAAACTTTTGACGACGATGGCCGTTCTATCATTTGTTCTCTACGTTGTAGAGAACAAGTTCGAAATTCTTTACAAATCATCGGAATTGATAAAAGAAGTCGACTTCCCAAACTTTCTTCCAATTTTTGAAATGGAGATGAGCGATAGGGATAACATGTTCATCAAAGCCATTTCCAGGCACGCCAAGACAAGTCAGTTTGTTGTTTGTGATTTTTTTGTGATGACAGTAGCAGCTATTGTTGGTGTCCAAACATCTCATGTTGTGGTTTATGAATCAGCCATCGTCAACACTTCGATTTGTTATCATGTCTGGATAACCGTAGCCTTTAATGTAGGATACATATGTAATCGTTAATTGGATAGTTGGATCATGATGGATGGAAATGAAAAATTAATAAATAAATGGATGAACATGATGCTTGAATGATGATTGCAGATAGACCATTTTATATTTAATGACATTAGTCGCAATCAATTCAACGACTTTCTACTTTCAGTTCCAAAACGTTTCGCTAACGAAACCGACATGAAGCTCATCATCCTGGCTATGACCGACAACTCTTTCTTCGACATGGCTCTCAATCTCTACATGACAAGTTTTAAAAGGTTCAACATCACCAACTTCCTGTTCGTTGGGGCGGGAAATATTGCATGCCGAAGCTTACTAGAGCTGAACATTCAGTGTTTTTATTTCACTGAAGATAAAAATTCCAACGAATCAAATTTGTTCGGTTCGCTAAAGTTCGTACGAAAAATGAACATAAGAACGGATATGATTATTAAAGCACTGAGGGCCAATTTCTCAGTACTTCATACAGATATCGACGTCGTCTTCCTTAACAATCCTATGCCATATGTTGAGGTTTGTCCATTTTGTCTAATTTTTATTTCAAGTTTTCTTTTGTTTTGTATACAATGTCTGAAATTTATAACAGAAATTAAAATAAATTTATTTAAATATTTGTAGTTGGTTATTTAAAATTTAAAAAATAACTGAAACAGAAATCATTGAAAGCTTTCAACATGGCTATTCTTTGGGACTATTCCGTGTACAATGCTGGATTTTTGGCCATAAAACCAACGCAGTTTTCACTAGAAGTTTACTTAGAGATGCAGTACAAAACAAACAAGTCGGCATCGCTGGACGATCAGACGGCTCTCAACAGCGCCATCGGACATCTGCGAAAAAAATACAAAAATAATCCTCAATTCAGCTCGGTTGGCGTACTGGATAAATCAAAGTTTGAACTTGTTTGTTATTTTGTTTTTTTTTGTTTCTATTTTAATGACACTTGAGCTCTCATTGTGGTGCCATGATGTGCCACGAACAAAATTTAGACAAACTTGCTATCTTCTATTGCAAAATTTTTATTTTGGTTTTGTATAAATCTTTGTTGATGAATCTCTGCTAAAATTTTACTTCGCTATTTGGTTTGCACATTTTACTATTCATTTTTTGGAATTTAGACTTACTTGAATGTTTATAAGTTTCACCATCATTTCAAGTTTCATTTTTGTGGAAAACGTTGAATTAACCTAACTGCTATTTTATAGCTAAGACAATGACTGAATAAAACGTTTCCTGCCAACTACAGATTTCTATGTGGAAAGTCTTATTATGAAGTGGTCGATCGTAACTTTCCAACAAACAACGGATCCAACAACTGTCCGGGCTGTCTGGTGGTGCACAACAACTGGATAGTGACTATGGAAGCTAAAGTCTACCGTTTCAAAGAAAGCCTCATGTGGGTGGTCGATAAAAATGGATACTACTCCGATAACGAGAAAAAGTACTTGCTTTACAACAATCCTTACCTCACTTCCCCGCCCGCCAATTTCTCTACCGAAGTAGAGGAATTGAATGCTCTCAAAACTGCATTTGCTCTGGCACAGATGCTCAACAGAACACTGATTCTTCCTAGGTTTTTTTTATTTTTTCTTGATCCTTTTTAAATTTGATTAATTAAATTTAGAAAAGTTTTAAAAAATTTTGTTAGAAGTTTCTGGAAAGTTGAAAATTATGAAAATTAATTTTACTTTGTTAATCACAAAGATTCCATTGTCTCGGTCCAAAAAATCCACGTGAATGCTCCATCTTACACTGGGTTTATGTGAGAACGTTGGACGCTTTTTTTGAATACAGAGAGAACAGCTTTCTCTCCAACGCTCTCGTTCCACAATCCATCAAAAAAGATCTCAGTCAGCAGTGTCCATATGGAACCAAACAAATAAAAATTTCTATAAAGGAAAATCTTTGTTCACCGAAATTGAAAAATGACACAACAGGCTGTTTGGAGCCAGTCTGGAACTTCATCGATACTAAAGACAGCATGATGTTTAACGATTTAGTTCGATATTCTTTTGATAGAGGCGTTTCATTAAACTTCAGAAATTATTCTCAAATTCCTGAAAGGGAACTTTTAAATTTATTAAATGGTTGCGACGATCAAGTTTTGTATGTGGCATCTCTGCTTGGAGTTCAAGTAGTTTTTGATGAGAAATCCACCAGCGAAAAATTTAATGCAAAAATTAAAGATGGAATAAAAAGAAAAAATTATCTTCAATACTGATTCATTTTCCGTTAAATTAACAAACATATCTCTTTAAATTGTGATATATCATAGAGGCCTACAACGTTTTTAAATCAGATTCTTTATGGATTGAGTCTTTCCGTTCGTAAGCTAAAATTATTTTTGGGTAAAATTATCATATAGGATTTGCCTTGCCATTAAATTTGATGTTTTGAAAAGACCCGATTCAAATCCTCAACTCCTTAACTCCAAGATAATACACGCGCTTTTAACAGTGCCTACTCTCTCCAAGTGCTTTTTATGAGCAATGCCCGCTACGTGTCGTGGGCATGTTAAACTGTGAAAATTAAAAAAGAAAATTGAATTATTAGAAACCAGTAAACACGCATTCACACACACACGGCACACAAACACACACACGTATATATATATTTTTTTAATTATTTGTTTTTAAATGCTTCATTTGAACATTCACATTTTTTCAAATAGTTATCTATTTTGAAAAAATTAGCTTCTTAGATAAACAAAATTTTCTCTTGATAATATTGTGCCCGCACAATGAATAGCCAGAAATTTGCTATGTAGAGGGGCTTATTTCCCTATTTTTAACAAATTTTAATAATGCCAGTGGTTTAACGAAAAATTTACCTTAATTTTACTGTTGTGAAATGGCTTTATTAGTTTTCAGCCCAAATTTTTACAAGTTTAAATAGAGGTTTCATTTAACTTAACTTTAACCCTAATTTAATTATTCCAAATTACTCATTATGGAAGTTTCAGCCCAAAAGTCTACACCCCCTTTACCAATTTTTATAATATTGTAATAACGAAATAATATAAATTAATTATTAAAAATTTAATCAATAATTAAGAATTATTTTTTATGTCATCATGAATTTGGTGTTCAATCCGTGGGTATAATGGTTAAATGTGTATTTTAATTGTGAACTGACTATACACATTTTTCTTTTTTTGTCTGCGGTTTAATTATGTTGTGATGTTTTATGCTTAAACTTGTACTGATTTGCCTTCATTTTGTTCGTCTCATGCCTATTATTGTTTGAGTAATTTTATTTAAGAGCTCTTCTGAGATATTTTTAATTAACGTGTTTATAAATTGATCATAATCATAAAATTAAATGTAAATACGTGTGATTGAGTTTTTTTTGTGATTGTTTTTCTTGCCTAAAAAATTAATTAAATTTGATAATTGTTTCAATATTTTTTCAATAGAGTGTATATTTTTTTTCTGGGTAGTTGCTAAATATTTTTTTGAGTTTTGAAATGTGTAAAAATTGCCACAGAGTTCAGTGTCATTAAAACTTATTGTTATTTAAATTTTTAATTTAAAAATATTTGTTCCTAGCTAGTTTTGACGATCAAAATTGTGTTAATTAGGCCAATGTATTGCGATCTTAGTATTGTTGTATATGTATATGCGGTATAATCATTTTCCCGTACGGAGGGCCAAAATTTTAATGATCTCACACATAGCCAATTAATACTTTCAATTAAAAATTTTTGTATATAAAATTTTGCATATTTATTTTCAGTGATATATTCACCGGTTTTGACTAATGCTAAACTTTTTCTAATAAGAAAGACCAAAATTGACTAATTATAACTGTTAATTATAATTATAGTTAAACATTAACATTGATTAATTAATACTTTTATTACGTTTTGTGTCTTTCTTATTGAAAAACTGGAAGTAATGCGAATAAAGAGTAAATAATTTTGTACTATTTAAACGTCTTGTGTGCGTGCGTGCGTGCGTGTGTGTGTGTGTGTGTGTCACTCCTCCCTCTCTCTCTCTCTCTCTCTCTCTCTCTCTCTCTCTTAAGACTGAAAAATTGATGAAGATGTTGATGATGTGCTAACGATGTTACTCATGACGAGATGATAAAAATTGTAATAGCACTGCCACTACATTTGATAGCAGGAGAAAAATAAAAGGTATTTTCACTGAATAAAAGGAAAGAATTGAATTTAAAATCGCCTTGTTGGCTAGAGATTGTTTGGCAGAAAATGCACATGCAATTTAAATGGAATTATAAAACCAGTGCTTTGTGACCTTGTTTGTCCATCTTACAGGACATCTCATCTTGGACCATGGATATGTTTTCGGTTGCGTCAGCCAATTTGGAAATCATGACTGGCTGATTTGAAGGATGTTGCCGGTATCAGCCGTCATTTTTCAACAAAATGCAACATAGACAGGTTTTCCGAAGGTAACTCAATAAAGGCGCTTATAAATCTTCAATACAATACCAGAAATTACGTACTTAGTTAGTTAAATAATTAATTAACCATATCATAAGTCAAAGTGATAAATAAAAACTTATTTAGTTAATTTCTAATTTTGATACATCGATTAGTTTATTAATTAATTCAATTTTAACTGTTCAATCATAAAAAACTTATGACCCATTCCAATCAATCAATCAGTCCAACAAATCAATCAATCAATTAATCAATCAATAAGTCGTTCCAATAAATAAACCAATCAATCTTTTAATAATCATTTCAATCAAAAAACCCATTATCCGATTATTACGACCAGTCAATTGTTTTAATCAGTTAACCAACTAATCTTTTAACCAATCATATCAAACACACTCTCAATCATTTCAACAATAATAACATTAAAAGTCAAACACACTCACACACATACACACACACACAACACACCACATACACACACACATCTCAAACAATTAATCATTTCCAATCATTAAATCCTTCGTCAGCTTCATGTTCTCTTCTCCATTTTTGCTTGAAAGCTGGAAAATTCGAAAGAAAAAAAAATTATATTAATCGCAGACTTTCATACATTTGTTTAAATATGTAGTTGTTGTCTGTGTCTGTGTGTTTGTATGTTTGTGTGCGCCCGTGTATGTGTGTGTGCGTCTGTATGTGTGTATATATATATGTGTATACGTGTATGTGTACGTGTGTTTATGTGTGTGGTGTGTGTGTGTTTAAATTGGTGAATTAAAACACGTACCGTATGGTCTGTAACATAGCCCTGTTGATTTATTTATTTGAAATTATTTTGAAATAATTTCACTGATAGAATTTATTACCATCATGATGATAACAATAGTAATAATAAAAAAAATAATTACATATAATAATTATAATGATAATAAGTAATAATAATATATAATAATTATAATGATAATAAGTAATGATAATAAATAATAATTATAATAAGTAATGATAATATATATTAATTATAATGATAATAAATAATAACAATATAATAATAATAATAAATAATAATAAAATAAATAGCTCACACATAATGATGGTTATGACTGGAAAAGGCCCAAAGAACAAGCAAGTACCTAGCATAGCTTTATCTTCGATACAAAAAAAATTAAATTATTATTCCCTTTAGTACTAGAAGTACATTATTAATAATAGTAGTGATAGTAGTATAAGTAGTAGTTGTAGTAATAGTAGTAATAATAATAATCAATAGTAGTAGTATGTTTGCTAATTTGTGTGTTTGTATATTTTGTTTTGTTGTTTGTTTGTTTGTTTGTTTGTTTGTGTATTTATAAATTTATTTGCTTGTTTGTATGTGTATTGGTGTGTTTTTTTTGTGAGAACAATTGCTCTATGGGATTTGTTTGTATGTGTATCTGCATGTGTGTTGGTGTTTGTATGTACATTTATATACGGGTGTTTGTTTGTATGTGTATTTGCATGTAACTGGATGTTTGTTTGTGAATTTGTATTTATGGGGATGTTTGTATGTATGTGTTTGCTTGTATGTATGTGTTTGTTTGTATGTGTATTGGCACGTATTTGGATGTTTGTATATATGTGCGTAAGTATGTATGTTTTGTTTGTATGTATTTTTGTATGTATGTATTTGCGGTTTTTTAACCTTTTTGGTTTTCATACTCAATATCGGCCTCGTCTCTTCGTCTTATTGTTTCCATGGCTTTGGCTTTTTCTTGTTCCACTCTGATCAAGGTCTCCAGTTTATTGTGCTCATCTTAAGCGTTCCAAAATATTTTTGTTAAATTATTTAAAAATAATAAAACAGATAAATAAATAAACAAATACATAAATTGATAAGTAAATAAAATTATTAAATGGATGAATTTCAAACCATCAGTTTGTCTCTTCACTAAAGTTTTGAAGTTCTTTGACAGGCTTTTTTCATTCAAGAACGTCTGCTTCTCTAGAAACTTTTCTGATTGTTTGACATTTTTTTAAATTTTTAGTACATATGAATGAACTTGCTACAAATTTTTGAAGTGTGAAACTATTTTTTTCAGTAAGCCAAAATTAAAGATTAGCAATCAAAATTGACTTTAGCTCAACTATAATAAGAATTTCACTTTTTTATTTTAATAAACTAAGTTCATAAATTCAATTTCAGATTCAAATATGTTAACAATTTCATCAATCAATCAATCAATTAGCTTATAAAGCGCTATTTCCGCGATGTTCAACAGCGCTCCTCAATGAATTTTGAAAACAGATGGGTCTTGAGATCCGCTCTGAACTTCGCAAGTGATGGAGAAGTAGTCAGAGAAGTAGGTAGAGAGTTCCAAAGAAAAGGACCAGAAAAAGCAAAAGCAGATTTGGTAAAAGAGTGTTTAACACGAGTTAAGAAAAAGCGAGAAGAAGAAGACGATCGTTTAGGTTCAATTAATATATCTGATAAATACTTAGGAAATAATTTAGACTGAGACTTATACATGAACGTGCAAATTTTAAAAATTATTCTTTATTTTACAGGTAGCCAGTGTAAGAGAACAAGATATGGAGATATATGAGAAAAGAAAGGGGCACGAGCAACTGAAATAATCAAATAATACATTCAATCAATTTCCAACGATCGAATGTTTGAATTAAATTTTGTGTTGATGGTTATATTACTCTTTAAACAACCAGCGATACCTATATTTTTGCGGCTACTATGTAAATTTTGAGAAACATTTAACTTAGGCCTATGGATCATGTTTGCGAACTAAATAATTCCTCATACAAATGAACGCATTGCTAGAAGCGGGCTGGTAAGGTACCTTCGAATCGAGTCATATAGTCAGTAACCCATTCAAAATTTTCATTGTATTTCATAGAATAAGTTAGAAAAATTTGTTTAACAGCAGTTGATAGTACGCTGATGAAATAAAATTAGCATTGCATCAAAGTTTAATTTTAAAATAACCGATTAAGTTATCTATTTTCAAATTCGTGGAATTCTTTTGATGTCTTGCCAACATGTTTTCCAACACGATGGCCTGCTTTTCCAGCTGTTTCAAAGATTCCATCAGTTGTTTTATCCTTTTACGTTTTTCTAAATTTTGATAATTCGCTAATTCGTTGCTTGGAATTTGAACTGATGGTGTTTCAGAGTTATCGTTAAAATTTTCTTCATCTGCAAAATTAAAAAAAATTGCCGAATTAGTTTTGTGGGAAAATTTTTATCGATTGAAAATTAATTTAAATAATTCAAAATTTGTATATCATTATAATAAAAACCTTCTTAAATCTAGTTATCAATGAACTCAATTCTTCTGATTTATTTTAATTCTGAATTCCGTTTTTCACATTCTTACACATTTATGATACCTTAATATTTTGATCAACATCATTCTCTGAGTCTTCAAGTCCATCATCGTCATGGAAAATCTTTTCATCAGCTGCATGAGATAAGAGAGATTAAGATGTTCTTACGAAACAGTCGAGAAAAATTCTGATGTTAACAACTGTCACATGGCATTCATTCATTCGATTCTTAATTCAGTAAATTCTTTAATTATTATTCAAGTCCCATAATTTGACAACTCTCATTACACTAAAAATGAATTTTATTAGTTCCTGGTTAAAGACAGAATGGACGTTAACTTTAAAGAAACGCCCATTGTGTCAAAATTTTTTCACAGGACCGCATCCACTTAGTTGCAAAAATTAAAAAATTCAGTGTCGAATGTCTCTAAACGTTGTTGACTGGTGGGACCAACAAGACACAAAAGTATAATGTACCCTTCCTCTATCCAACTCAACTCATTTTTTGACAAGATTTTGTCAAATGCTTCAGCCAAGATTTGGAGCTTACTGTCTATAGATAAAAAAAAAACTTGCCACTAGTATCAATGTAAAGTTATCAGATTCTTAAGAGGCCTTAAAAAAGAGAACAAACGTTCAATGAGGTGAAAACCATGTTAGTCCCTCTGTTTGAACGTACTCAATAGAAACTCCTTACTAATCTACAGTAATATTCATCATGCTTTAAGTATTAATGAACACTTATGAATATGTAAATAGGTCATGAACCTTCATTGCTTGCCACTTGACAGTAACACGCTCTGTAATTGGACCTGACGACAACTGTATCTGGAGTTATCTTCAATGATAATAAAAAGTCATCATTATCGCTTACTACAACGGGCTTGTAATTCTTCGATACAACCCAACACCAGTTACCATTATTAATATCGTCGTTTACAGTATTAGGTTCATTTTTCATGTCGTTTGCATTTACTTTGCCGACATTAATTTCAGTGCTGTTTTTATTGTTGTTTATGGAAAATCTATCTAGAATTTTCATACCACACTTCCAACAATTGGAGCCTGTAGAAAACCTTTTGTCGTGCGAATAAACAGCAAACTTTGCGCCAGGAACACTTCTTCTTGGAAAGATTACGAACAATTCTCTGGTAGTGTTGATAGATTTTATCTGGTAAGGCTTCAAAACGATATTTTCCGGCGATCCGTTGACCAAAACTGTGGCACCACTTGACGTGACTAGCGAGATTGATGATGGCACTTTCTCGCGTGAAAGCATTTCTTGATGGTTTAAATTGTCATTAAAGAACTTATTGTTAGTTTGTAGTATTATACAAATTTGCTAAAGTTTAGTGCAGCGGTTCTCAACCTGTGCGCCTCGTTTATGATCATCGAAATGGTTTTCTTTCGTCTTCTATTATAAATATCTTATAATTATCCTTGAGACACTACCAAATAGTTTTTGTTCGTCTTCTATTATAAATATCTTCTAATTATCCTTGGGACACTACCAAAACAGTTTATTGAACTCAGTAACAGCAACGCAAGTTATTTCTCAACAATGCCAGTTGCAAAATGTTAAACTAAGTGTGAGCCAACCATTCATACCCTGTTCTGTCTACGATTTGGTTGCACTTTTTTGGTTAATATTAATTAATTATCAAGTCCAATCACAGAAGACCTAATGCCGGGAGTTACCTTTGTTGTAGAGACTGCTCCAAGAATCCGTTGAAAAAAACATAACCTTCAAACTGACAATCTCCTTCCGCAAATCATGTCGCAACGATTTAGTGCAATCTAGTTAAGGCTACTATTATTATTATTTATTCATGCTCTGTCGCATTTCAATTCAAATATGCAACGTAATATAGCAAATAAGCTATACAAAAAATATAGATAGATGCAAGTAGAAAAGATAAAGTTCATTTGTCTGTAATTTAACTAACTGTGAGAACAATTAATTTAAATTATATTTAGTGCTTTGATGAAATATGAAAATACTTCTCGCGTATCGGATAATTTACATCACAACTTTTAAGAGTACAGTTACTTAGAAGACTTATGAACAAGAATGATTTTAGCGTCTGGGTTGCCACTTCACAGGATATGGGTATGCCGTGAAAGAATCGTGGCACAATAGAGGTTGAGAATCGCTGAATTGTGATGTAGCTAAGTATTTGTTGTTCTAATTTTTCATGAGAAAAAACATTGTATATAAGTTTTATTTTGTAGAAGATTAGATTCAATGAAAGAGAACTGACCAAATTATTATCTATCACGATTTTCGAAAGTAATGTGAGAATATTGTTGTAATTCGTAAGTATTATAAGTTACTAACTACGTTTGTAATAATATCAATAACAATAATAAAATTTGATATAATAATAATAAAACCGATTAACGAGAAAAAAACAAAAAAAATCCAACCGTCAACATTGTTGGACTTGTCATGTCCAAGAAAAACTATCGCTGAAGGACTTTGCTGCTTCACATCTCCTGCTAAGCAACCTTCAGATGTTAATAATATTCAAAATTCCATCAGAAATATTGTGACATATTAGAAAAATATAAGTTTAAGCGATCAAAGCAAGGCATGGCAACCCTGATACTATCTACACGTATCTTATTTTTTATCTTTCGTGATCAGACGTTTGTCTGGATGAACGGGTGTCTGGCCCTAAAAATTATGCCCAATCAGCGGCTGATACAGTGGCAGATGCAGTGGTGGACACAGTGGTGGACACAGTGGCGGACACAGTAGCGAACCCAGTGGCGGATACAGTGGAGAGTTTAGGGGATGCTGAGTGGACAATATCGATGTTGCCATCCTCTTCTTGAATAAAAAATTGTGAAAATTGATATGTTTAATATTTCTAACATGAGAAGAAGAGTAGACGAAATGTCAATCCTGTTAACATTTTTCGGTGGCATGATAAATAAATAATAGTCATTTCATTAGGTCAGTTCGTTATTTCATTACAATAATTTAAATTGTCGGTTATTTAATTTGAGTTTTTGTTGCCTAAATTTTATTTAATAAGAACTATATGAAATTTATGAAAACTTCACTGATTGTTCAGTTTATTGGTGGAGAATTAATTAATTTCGATGAATTCTATTCAGCTTCTATAATTTTCAGTTAATTTTCTTAATTATCCACACGATTAGTCATTTTGATTAATCTGCTTAATAAATGAATAGGTTAATTTTTAATTAATTAATTTAACTAATAATTTTTTGCATTCGAAAAAACTCTAGAAAGTTAGAAAGTGAGCAGCTCACATAGCAGCTCATCAGATGTGTTTATGGTTTATTTAAGCGTCAACATCAACACAAAATGAAAAAAAAATGTTTTTTTTTAAACAAAAAAATATGGAAGAAACTTTTAATGCAGTAGTATTGATTGAAGTTATTACTACTTAAGTTTTATAATTTGCTACTAAAGCATTATTATTATATGTGTTAGTATTATCAATAATATTCACGATTTGTTCACTTTTTTCGAAATTTGTACCCGGTCAACATTTTATTTCTAAAGTTTTGCCCCCTTCTCGTCAAAACTATCTAACTTCATTAGTGATATCATTAGTTATATCATTAGAGATATCATTAGTGGATATCATTAGAGATATTATTTTTATCTGATTACATGAGTTACATAGCTTAGTTTCGACTGCGAAGTAGCTTTTCTAAAAATTTGTTTCTGCCTCTTTTTGTTTTCTTGATGATTTAACATTTGCTGGTTTTATATAACAGTACTGATTTACACAAATAAACATTGTTTGTTCCTACACTCATTCATTTATCAAGTTGAGATCATATAGATCGCAAAACTTTAGGCAAAACTAGGCACTTAACCCAATAGTTAGTTTTTAGTTGTTACATGCAAGTATCAAACTTATTTGGTCTACTATAATAGTTACAGCATGTAATTATCAAAGTTATTGTTATGTTTTTTTAATGATTGCTAAGTTGTTTTTTCAAAATTTCACGTTTAATTACTCTTTAATTAAACTTATTTATATGTCAGTCAGTTCCGTCTTATTAGGCTGATTATAAACAAATCATTAGTGTAGCAGGAACAGTGAGCGGTCACATGTACTTATGTACTTACTTATAATAAACAACACGAGAAGTTAATTACTTTATTTCTATACTTAATTAGTGTGTGTGTGTGTGGTGTGTGTGTGTGTGTGTGTGTGTGTGTGTGTGTGTGTGTGTGTGTGTGTGTGTGTGTGTGTGTGTGTGTGTGTGTGTGTGTGTGTGTGGTGATTATTTAATTATGTTTTTAGGTGTGTGTGTGCTGTGTGTGTACATATATATCAATTTTATATCTGTATATATATATATATATATATATTATATATTATTTATATATATATATATATATACATTTATATATATATAACTTTTTAAATTATATATAACATTAATTACCTAGGTTAACTTTTCATGCATGTTTCGTTGCATACATCAAGCTAAATTTAAAACTCATATGAGAAGCAAAAAAACATTAGAAGATGATTTTCATTCGCTGATCATCAGTGGATTCTTGTGATTTGTTTGATTAGGGATTAGGACAATTATTTGTTATGTTTAGTTATTCGTTTGTTATGCTTCTTTTAGTATAAAAAGTATAAATAGGGGTTATCAGTCAATTGTTTTTTACGGTTTTTAATTGTTGGTTGGTTGTCAGCCCAGCAGTTTATTTTGTGCTTTCCTGTACTGTAGCAATTAAATTTAGATTTTTTCAAAACATATTAGTTTTAAATTAAAAATGAATTTGTTTCTTCTTGCTGGTGAAGTTTTCTTCCTTGCATTCTTGTTTGCCAGCAAATATTCAGCAGTAGATGGCACGTACGAAATTGATGAGAGGTTCAGACAGCTGGTCATCAAGTACAGTAAAATGACCAGGAATAAGAATTCTGGATTAAAATTGGTAGTTAAATTTATATTTGAAAAAATTAATTGTTTGTGATTTATTACTCAATTAATTTCATATAATAATAATTAAATATTAAATAAATAAATGGTACTAAATAAACTAAAACTAATGAAGTATTGTTTTGTTTGTGTTTTAATTAGTTTTATTTTATTTTACAAACAGTTAACCAACGAAGTATGTTATTTAATTTATTTTATTATTATATTCAATGCTTTTTCATAAACCACGTCATAAATAAATAAGTTTATAAAATTAATGAATTATCAAAATGCAGCGTGATTTCTCCTGGGAGGATTGTGGTGACTCAACGTTTGCTGCTCGTTTCAAATCAATCTCGGTCAGCCCTGATCCAATACACCTACCTGGCAACATCACCGTCAGCGGTAAGGGCACTCTTTCTAGGAGCATCTCATCCCCAATCTTGGTTATTAGTTAATTGTGTTTGTGTATGTCTGTGTCATTGAATGTGACTGTCTGTTTGTCTGTCTGTGAGTGTCTCTCTGTTTTTGTATTCATTCCTTTACTTATTTAAATATATAAATTGATATTTTTGTTAATAAATTAATTAATTAATTTATTTTTTCATTATTTATTTATTAACTTATTTAAACAATTTAACATAAGGCTAGTGTTGTCTTGAAGAAAAAAATAATAGTCTGGGTTGAAGTTCCATGCATAGAACATAGTGGCTCATGTACATATGGAGACATCTGTCAACTCTTGCATCACCTACCGTGTTCATCGAGTAGTAATAATAATGATAAATATTATTATAACAATTTCAATGGTGATGTTGGGGGAAATGGCTCACCCAATTTCTCTTGCCAATGTCCTTTTGCAGAGGTTTGGCTTTGTTTTGTTTTTTATTTTCTTAGTTTGATATTCATTAAAAAATAATGTTTATTATAGCAACAATGTTATTTATGATAATATTGAAATCAATAATAATAATGATGAGAATTATTTTGAATGAGAATTGAGAATTAATGATAATTATTTTTCTCCCAAAAGGGTTCATATGACATTCCCCCAATGACCTTTGCCATATTTGACCCTAAAATTCCTTCAATTCTTCTCGACGGGCAGTTTCAGGTCACTGTTCATCTCTACGACGCTATTGGGGAAATCGCCTGCCTACATTCGCATTTCACTGTCGAGTGATAAAAAGCTGTGTGTGTGTGTGTGTATGTGTGTGTGTTGAAGTGTGTGCGCGCGTGTGTATCTGTGTGTATGTGAGAGTGTGTGAATTTGTGTGTGTGTGTAGTGTGTGTGTGTAGTGTGTGTGTGTGTGTGTGTGTGTGTGTGTGTGCGCCTATGGCGATTGTGATAATGTTAATTGTATAGTGATAATGGTAATAATGTTGAGAAGTTGTTGGCGATAAAATGTTGATACGTTGAAACTGATTGACGATGCTTATGTGCCTTATACAAACATTATATTCTGCTTGACTATTTATATACACGTAGCTAATCTATTTTCACTTTCCATTCATAAATGATGATCTGTAAATTTCATTTTCTGATTTTTGACGATCTTCCTATTTTTATATTTTATGTTTATGTCTGTCTGTGTGTGTGTGTGTGCGTGTGTGTGTGCGTGTGTGTGTGTTTTCATATGTGTGTGTGTGTGTTTCCATATATATGTGTGTGTGTATTTTCATATATGTTTATGGGTTTGTTTCCATATATGTGTGTGTTTCCATATATGTGTGTGTGCGTGTTCATGTGTGTTTTTATGACATCATTTCTATGTGTTATATAATATTTTACCAATTTATTACTCTCATTCATGCATCACGTTAACCATGTTTTGTAAACCGTGTAACAAAAATTTTCTTCTGATCAGACTTTTATTTGATTGCTGCATAACTTTTTAATTACTAAATCGTCATAGCCTTACCGTTTCTAACTCTTTTTTCTCCATAATGACCGATTTAATTATTGATGGATATTCATAGGCAATGGAAAATGACAGATCATTTATTCGTTGCTATATTTTTTTATTTTAAAAGATTTGCTCTACGTGTATGTGATTGTTAAATGAATCAACTCTTTTTAATCAATTTCGCTATTTATCTGCTAGTGGCAGGATATTTTCTCTTAAGTACTCAAATATATTCAAGGAGTTTCTAGAAATATTTCTACAGTAATAAAAATAAAACTTTTACCACTATATCCTCGTTAAATTGGTTTAATTGAAAATGGAGTGAGAGATTCAGAGAGGGGAGAAAGAGAGAGAATAATTAGGGAGAACATTTTAAGGGAATATCTGAGAAGAGGATTGATCCGCTCCCATGGTTACAAATTTTTATTGCAGTTGTAAACATCTGCCACACGTAAATGTGAACGTGCGTGCACCAGATATGTGTGCATGTGCGTTTACACACACACACATATATATATATATATCTGTGTGTATATATATATATATATATATAGATAATTTAGTTTTGTTTATATATTAGATGTTTAAAATATATAGATATATGGTATAAAGAAGAACCATTAGGGTTACCGTTGCCAATGAAACAGCCACGCACTCAATTAACGACGCAAATATTTTAGTGTACGTTTGAAACTTTGTATTTAGTTCAAACTTAGTTTATATTTAGCATTAGTTGTCGTCATAATTTTAATAAGAGACATTGATATCGGGTACATTTCAAATGTTGTTAGTCGTAACTCAATATGCCAGATGTTGTAACACAATGTTACACTGAAACAACCACCAATAATAGAGCTTTAAACGAGTTCGTTCGAGTACTTTAAATTAATATGATAACGATGAACAATAATAGTAACAATAATAACAATCATAATAATAATAATGACGTCACGAGGAGGAAGAAAAGGTTTGCCAGAAACGTCAACAGCAACGTCAGAACATTTTTGGATAACATAAATTTCATCACAACCGCAGGTCACCAATTGAATTATTCTCACTTAAATTTTGTGGCGGTTACGTATATTTAATTATATTAATATAATGATAAAAACTCTCTCTCTCTCCCTCTCTCTCTCTCTCTCTCTTTCATTCTCTCTTTATTTCTATCTCTCACGTTTAGGTTGTCTGTTAAGTGTGATGTTTTTTTGATATCTTGGTGTTGTTAGTTTTATTTCTTGGTTTTGGCTGCCATTGTTTTCGTTACAGTTGCTGGTTCTTTATGATCTCACATCAGCCAGTTGGACTTAATTTAATGAATTTTTCTTTCTGAATGACATGGCAGATGTTGACAACGACGGTGGACACTGGTGGATTCAGAGACAAACAACTAAAACATCGAACGTTAATGCAAACAGTAACAACAACAACAGTAAAAATAGCATCATTCAAAACAACAACAACTCGATCGCTGGCAAGAATGTTAGCGACTACAACTACAATAACAACGCCATCTTGAGTGAATTTTTTAGAAACAGTTCGAATGTGACCAATGGAACGTCAAAATCAAAATACATAAAAGATTCTACCTCCAGACAGGACTACAGAAATCATTTCCTCGATCCGTCCATTGTTGAACGATGTCTAAGAGAAAATGAGATGTCAAGTTATTGGAAGAACAAGCAACCAGCCAGTGGAATATGTCGGTGGTGTCAATTTGAATTTGATCCATTCATTAGTGGTTTTGTCTTGTGGATATTAATTTGATTCATGTTTCAATCGATCAATGAAAGTTTTTTTATTTCTTTTTTGTCGTTTTCTTGAATTCGTGTTTATCTTTGATCATTTTTATTGAATTCAAAGTTCTCAGTCCATTCCATACACAGTGCCGACTCAGAGAGGGACATTCATGCTTGACAGACACCAAAACAGGGTGGAAGTGATGAAGGAGAGAATTTCTTACAACCACCACTTTGACAGTAGAAATAATCTCATTATGCCACGTTTTGCGAATAATGTCAGGCTTAGTTCGTTGATTTTGTTTTCAAAATTTAAAATTATTCAACTCTAAAACCGCACGCAACATACAAATTCTTGTAGATATAAAGATATAAAAAATAAAAAATTGTTTTTTTTTTACTTTACTCATAGCACCAGGGATCATTTGTTCTGACGAGTCTGAAAAATTGTTGAATGTATCATGTGTAACGACAATCCTTAAACAGAACGCAAAGCAGTGAAACAGCAATTAAGACATAAGTGGATTAATATGCCAGACATTAAATGATTTTTTTTAGAAATTTTCACGTCAAATCTTTCTGTTTAAAATGTAAAGTAGTATCTTTGTTATTATCTCATCGATTGTGATAAAACAATTTATACTTCCTCAACATACCTGATGTCAGATAAGCAGTGGAAGAAACCTTAGTTATCTTATGAAACATACGTATATTAAAATTTCACAAGAATTGTTACAATTTCTTTTTTGAGCCGTCAATTATATTAATGAACATCCGATATCTTCACAAAAATACTTCAACTTTATTTCTTGAAAAATTAAAATTCTTACGACCATATATTGAGTGACAATATAGTTTTATCTTTCGACCATATACTGAATCACCTGACCAGAGAGTTTTATGACCCATATATACAGATTCATATATATATATATAATATATACATATTCTATATATATATGTAAAGAATATAACATGTTATATTCTCTCTCTCTCTTTCTCTCTATATATGTATATATATATATATATATATATATATATATATATATATATATATATATATATTTCGGAACGAGGTTTTCTTTAATACAAACATCATTGAAGATATATGCCCATTTTGCATTAATGACTTTCTTTAATAAACACTCAACAAGTCTGAATTTATTAAACTCGTATTTATTTAAAACAATAGACATGGTAAGGCTAACAGCGCTGTGTCGGGAAGTCCATCTTCAGAGCCTATGAAAATAAGAATAACATGAAATATTT